TATTTTTTCTTCTACCCTGAAGATGGAGGCGATACGTTCCTCCGAAACGTCGGTTAACACCACATATACACGGTGCCAAATCCCAGAAGACTGCTTTCTTCATAGTCACCGCCGTGAAAGCCTCAAATCTTACATACAAAACAACTCTTCGGAAATTGGATCTTTTTCCGTCCTTAGTAAGAGGATGGGGGAGATACCTACTCAGTTGCTGTAATTATTCTGACAGGGCTTAACCAGTGATTAAGGCTAGCTCTAAGTGACCCAACTGAGTAGATGTCTTTCCCACCCCTCACCTGAGGACAATCCGACTACCGTGACCGGCCTTCGTTCCTCATACAAGATAAAAATTCTAGTTAAAGATTACTGTCTTTTGGTTTGTGACGGCGCGCTGTCTGGTGGATGTTTAACAAAGTTCTGGAGGAACCTACTTCGTCCATCTTAATTTCTCTGTCCTTGAAATGTAGGTAGCAGGTTATTTCAAAAAGTTTATAATGATCTACGAGATTATAAAAAAGTCACTTTTCAGAAAAATAACCCAAAATCTCACAAATTCCGACCCGAAATATAATCAGTAAGCCCTACTTCCTCTTCACAAATTTGATTTCTTCCCATATACAAAATTTCAGCCCGTACCTCACAGGAAACATTACGTTTCCGCTACAACTCCCAAACGGGTTAATCCTGCTTGAGGAAAAAATTGCCTTTAATTTTAACAGCCTCATGAAACACACAAATGGAGTCTGTGGGCTGAATGCAGATTTATAATGTGTTAAAGCTGATGGTATATATAGTAACCACTTAGCTTTAAAATATTAATATAATGTAGAATTTAATTTAGAATTCCTTTATCAGATTTAATACAAATTATATATTACATATCATTTATATAATAATTATAAGCTGTTTCTTCATTCGGAAAAATTAGCAGTTAAGGAGAAATTTATAGGTATGTGACAGAGAGGGAATGAGGCAGAGAGGCATACATTTTAGGGCATTAGTACAATATATATGAGACACGCGGAATAAATTGTACGGTATCATTCATATGGGGACGTACATTTCGCGACTGCGCAGATAAGTGTGTGTGTGCGGCGTATATTATACGATACACAGACAGGGGGAAGTATATTGCACGTTACAACAGATGATAAGTCTGTGTGGCGTGAAATTCTACGGCGCTACGTAAGCAACTTTTTTCTGCGGGGGGGGGGTCGTACATTTTATGGCAGTATTGAGATAAGTATGAGGAAGGCGGTACCATTCTGTGACATTATGCAGATATATTCATACGTACGGTCTGTGCTCCCCATTTGCCGTCTTCGACTCGAAAGAGATCGTACGTGAAGCCCAAATCATCTGCAAACTTCTCCAGAAGATCAATGCAGAAGCCGGAACAGCACTGATAGAAGCTGCCGTTTCGATGCACTGTCGGAATGTCCACTCTGGAATGTGCAAACATGTCATATGCAATATGTGGTTAGTCTGGGTCCCCCGTTGAATTTGATGTGCTCACAGCGGTGATGTGAAAAGTACGGTGTTCTGGGTTGTAACCCTGCACAGCTCGGAAAATGCCAAACATTTCTCTCCCCTGTTCTGCTCGTCGCCTGCTTGCTTAGTTTAATCTACGATTCTGAATATGGACGAGTTATGTTCCTCCGAAACGTCGGATTGTCTCCGAACCACACTGCATTTTAACCCAAAAGACCATGCTCTTCCAAATATCGTATTTATTTTGTATTTATAATATTGTGACATGACGCCTGAAAGCCGGAATAGAGGATTCAAAGCCAGACGTCCATTGCTAGACAACGGTTAGCTAAAACACGTTTCCTCCGGCAATGAATACGCCTGTATAAATGAAAGCGTTGTCCCAAATTAATACAAGATTTCCGTGATAACCAACCTGACAACAGAGGACAATTAACCGTCAGACGTGATGTCTTCTATACGAGCAGCCTAGCAGCTGTAACAAGTAACGAATTCGAGGAATAGAGATCCAGTCTCAAGTCTGAGACAGTAATATATGGTCTCGAGAACCAAGGGTCTCGGACCCGAGAAAGACTGCTCTGGCAAGGACCAGTAGCATATACAAAACACAGACCCGTCTTCTCGTCAGAGAGAGCGCCCACAAGAAACAAGACCGTAACTGTCAAACAGTAATAAAGATCTGGTCGTAAGCCCCAGATGGGGGCTTTATGCCAATACAGACTGGCCGACTGACCGTCGGTCGTAAAATGAGACTCAGACTCAGACTCAGACTCAGACTCAGACTCAGCGAGAACCAGAATTCTAGAGACTAGAGACCAGATCGAGATTCAGACAACAGCGAGAGATTCGTTATCAAGGATCAGTTAAATGTGTGGATTATTGTAATCAAGCAACTGTAATTGTAATAGAGACATCCAATAAATCCATTCTTCAAATTTAGAACCCACAATTATTAGTCACGCCTAACCCCCTTACGTGACAATACTATATTTCAGCCTCCTCTTGAACTGTGTATTTTTTTTATTGCTAGTGGGGTGGGACTCAGTCCCTTGTACTGCGGCCACTTCTGGCCTATTGTACCAGCCCCAGATGATAGGTGAGGGTGATTGTGGAGCAATTGGTGGAATGAAGACTGGCAGGGGAAACCGAAGTACTCGGAGAAAACCTGCCCCAGCGCCACTTTGTCTACCACAAATCCCACTTGACCAGACCCCGGGATCGAACTCGGGCCGCCGCGGTGGGAAGCCAGCGACTAACGTCTTGAGCTATGGCGCGGCTCACTTGCACTGTGTAGATCTGGCTTTGTGTTCCACTTTTTCCCATCTAAGTGCAACGTCGGTTCAACAAAGAGAAGACCAGTGAATATTAACCGACGTTCCATATAGACGGGAAAAGGTGGAACGCAAAACCAGATATATTTATAATTTATATAACGATTTTGTTAGCATCTGGGATTATAGAGTGGAATGTATGGATAATACCGAGTGATGAAGTGGAAGGGATGTGATAGGAAACAGCAGTAGCTCAAATAAATGTGCTAGCTCAGCGGTTTCCTATACGAACTCAGAAATACAATTATTTTTTCCCCAACTGAACATTTGCGGTTGTAGTCCTCATGTAACATCCTCTCTGACGAGATGATGGGTCTGTCGTCTACAATTGCTGCTGGTCCTCGCCAGCGCATTCTTAGTTCCGTGTCCCGCGAGACACATGACCATATTTTACTCTCTCAGATTCGAGACTTCCCCAAGCTGGATGGCCAGGTCCCAGCATTTATATCCCCCAGGAACATGGTGGCCCAGTTATACCCCCGAGCACTGGGTGATCTTTCCGTCGCCTCCTACCCCTCGCAGTGCTGCGGTGGAGGTATTCGAACCCCGCCTGTACGCGGGATGGGGCTACACAGACGCACAGACTCTCCTTCTGTACGATACGGACGGTATAGAAATCGAATCCACAGTTCTTCTGTTGTTGCGCTTGTCCGTTGCCGCCGGAACGTGCTTGTCGAGCCTTTGCCTAACAACGGTAGGAGGACAGAAATACAGACACATACCGACGGGAAGGGATTTATGAAGCAAGCCGTTGGGATTGCCTCAGGTGCCACGATACGAACACCAGTTTTCATACAGATTGGCCCAGGCATTCAAAAGTTGATGGGGGTGGGGACATACAGAGAGCAAGATTAGTTTTTTTTTTCTTGGGGTGTTGTGAGACTGGAGACTGAGTCCACTTGGCACGACGGCCAATAACTGGCCTACTGTACCAGTCTCGGATGATAGATGATGATGAGTGTTGAGCAGTCGGTGGAATGAGAACTGGCAAGGGAAACCGAAGTACTCGGAGAAAACCTGCACCAGTACTACTTTGTCCACCACAAACCATCATGACCTGACCTAGGGTCGAACCCGGGCCTCCTCGGCGGGAAGCCAGCGACTAACCGGCTGAGCAATGGTGCGTCTGAAAATGAGGAAAGTAGGCTAAAAGTCAATTTATTCTCGTGGTTTCACGACCCCTCCCTACTCCGTCAGGAGGCGCTTCGCCCAGTGTGAAAATCAATGTTATGAACGAAATTATCCCTTACAGTTATACACAAGGCAAGCTACCAAGTGGGTCTCGCCTCTACCAAATGACTATGTTAATAAAAAGTGCGTTTTGTCATGTTAAAATGAGAATTCAATTGACGTGTAATTCAATTAGCGATCTATTTCACTTCCACATCAGTAAATAAAAGTCACGTCCGTGAAACGCTGGGCGTTTAAAGCGAATGTGTTGGAATGCGCGGCAAATTGTGCTTCCATGTTATAATGGGCAGATTCGCTTTCTGTCCGACTGTGCGTAACGACATCTAGACGAGTAGAATTCGCATTTATTTTTTAATATTAAACCTTATGGCAGTAACTGGGGGGCAGCTGTGAATGTAATATAAGCAGGCGGTACGGCCGGCAAGCCGTGTACTTACTGGGTCGGAGGATAATAATCCATCGTAGAAATACTATATAATGTTTGAATTGTTACACAGGGCCTTGGGGTAACGAGGCAGAAAGCAGAAATGGTTTCAAAATTATAGCCGGAAAATCTAGAAGGAAAATATTTGGAAGTTCCAATTTTATTTCTTACCTGAAAAATTTGTGCTAGGAGTCAGAGTCAGAGTCAGAGTTATTTACGATTGGCCGTTTACCGCCAATTAGTTCGTCTTGGCGACACGCCCTTTGATGCTCACGATCAGTACTTCTTTTTCCCAACTGAATGTTTGCGGTTGTAGTCCTTATTTAATATCCTCTCTGACGAGAGGATGGGTCTGTCGTATATAATTGCTGCTGGCCCTGGCCAGCCATTCTCAGATTTGAGATTCCCCGAACATGGAGGGCCAGGTACCTCTGTTTTATCCCCCAGGAACAGGGTGGCCCGGTTATACCCCTAGACGCTGGGTGCCCTATTCGTCGCCTCCTACGACTCGTAAGGTTACGACCTCGCCTCCACACGGGAGGGAGGCGCCTCTTATACCTTACGGTGTCGAGGTTGTTTCTTTTTTCATTTAGATCATTTTGCAGACGGTAGGACTCCTTGGACGAGTGACCATCTCGTCGCAAGGCCTCTACCTAAACACAGGACAACACAAACACAGAATAAACACATACCAAATATCTATGACTTGTCTGGGATTCGAACCCACGATACCGGCTTCAGAGCGAGTGAAAATAGTTAGACCGCTCGGCTACCGTGACCGGCGACATTTAAAATTAACATCTGATAAAACATCACGAAAAAATCCCAAAACATCAGTAACCAGAATTTTGTAGAATATGAATCAATACTGGGAGTTCTGTCACCAGCATCCTTTGGTTCTGTGCACTGGGGAGTTCGGAGGAATCTTCTATTCCTCTTCCTCTTTCGCCTCTTTTTTTGTGTCTTTGTTCAGTAGGACTGTCGATAAAAATAAACAAGTAGTGCGCTCGTGCAGCCTTGTGTCAACTTAAAAGTGCACTTATTTTAAAGTTACTTAGACAAACTACTACATTGAGATGACATTCTGAAGAAAGTAGCACATCAGGGCCGTAATTTGACAGTGGCGTGATAGGGAATCTTTACAGGCACGATGTATTTTTAAAGAAGGGCTTGGTCTTCGTGGCTGTAACGATTTGCCGCTACAGAACGCTGACTTGCAAGATGCTCAAAGACGGTTTTCACAACGGTGAACAAAATACGTGCGTCACAGACTGAGCTGTGTTTTATATATCCGTACATTTTACGTCTCATCCTCGGGAGCCATGACAGCTCGGTGTGTAGAGACGATTCCTATGGGCGGGGACTAAATCCAAAATCACGTGTACTCAGAATTACACTTGAAGATTCCTTAAATCGCCCATATAAGTGTATGCTTTTAAACTGTTATATGTACTGTAGTATGCAGACCCGTTGCTAAATAATGACTAGGTAAACAACGCCCGCTGCCAGGCAACGGATTACTAATAAGCAATAGTTGAAGTACAACAATGAGGAGCGGTCTTTTCTACGCGGTCCATGACGGGGGGGGGTTATAGGCGAGACAAGTCTATAGTTTACTCAGTTGTGAGACATTCTCCAGCCGATGAGGGCGTAAGCAGAGGGCATTGTTAGGATCTGTTATCGGGAAACGGCTAGGAAAACAGAAGATTTAATATGTGATGTAGTGAGGGAACGAGTGTATGAATTAGCGAGAGCATAAGAGTATAAACCACGCGGTAGCGTAGGTGGTTGAGGCATTACACTACAAGCCGGAAGGTTCCGGGTTCGATTCCCGATGAAGCCATTGGATTTTTCAAATGACCTAATTCTTCCAGCTGCAATATGTCCCTATGTTTGACTCAGCCTCTAACATAATTGAGTATTAGGAATATTCCTAGGGGTAAAGAGCGGCCGGCGCGTAAGGGTGAGAGCCTCACCGCCGTCTGTGAGTCGACTGTCTAGAGAAAAT